AGAAACCTGGAAGCACCGGGCTGCCGTTCCATCATGGTATGGGACTCCTCAGCACTGCACATCCACGACTCCTGCATCCCGCAGGATTCGAACCCAGGACCGTCCGTATTGTGCGCGAAAGCCTTAACCGTTAGACCACTGAGCCGGCACCTAACTGCCTTAAAGTCTAACTTGATCAAATTCACGGAGTTGCGCAACCTCATACACAGTCTTCGGTAGACACTGCCTACACCCGAACAGGTTGAACTTCACTGGTCACGTCTTCCCACTAGAACTCGGAGAAGATTCCTCACGAAGCTAGTCACTAGTGAGCATGCGTCTATAGATTTTCACCTCTTATTGCTGATGAAACTATTTACATAACATTCGATGCTTCTTTGTTTACTTTGTCAATTGATATAAACTCAGCTTATTCACCACATTGAAATATCACCCTTCTATTCGATACTTGAAACCTTCTAATAATCTTGACTGTATTACCCAATCCCACTTCATTTTCACTGCCTTCCGCATGGTTGTTAGTTATGTAAAATTTCCATATTTCACAATGAACAGCTACATGAAAGTTTACCGATCAAGATGATTGTACAACTGCAGAAAACTATATCGTCAAAAAGTGAATTTTCTTCATTTCCATGTCTTTCTTTATGGTTTATTCACTATCACATGTTTACAACTCCACACTTTCGACTTTCTCATGATTTCATTTTTGATAAAATAATTAACAAACATTCTTAACTGTTGTCATATACAATAGGTTCTTCTTTCGTCTTCTTTGGTTCGAACTAGACTTCATTAATTATTGCCTGTGATGTAACGCATTTCTATAATAATTTTGCTCATGTGAATTCAGGCCATTTTCAGCTAATGAAAAGCCTTTAGAGATATTACGAATTCATATTAGTCTACTAATTGTATTATTCTTATTCTTATCTTATTATTATAAATATTATCAAGGAATCCGGATCTAAATAACCTTACAACTGATTGATTGGATAACTAAACTGATGGTACGGGGATAAGAAAATTATTCACATAAAAGCAAGGGCAAAATTATGCCCATTTTATTCATGACGTCAAACGTAGTAATACTACTGAGTTACGAAAATTAGTACCATTATGCTTGTTTTTGTAATTAAAAAACTTATTCTGAATGATCAATTGAATTTTCATTTGCTTATTGATCTAAGAAAGACCGAAATTCTTGTGAACAAATCAAAAAATGACGTGTTCTGTCTAAGTTAGCATCTTACCAAGTGAATTCTGCAAAACAAATTATTATCGCTGTAGGGTGGTTGATGGATCAGCTTACTAAACACTGTATTCGAGTGAGTAGGACAAATAAAAATTTCAAATCATGAATCGATCAATGTTAGACCACCATTAGAATCCTGCAAGCACCAACGGCAGTTGCGTCCTTATATGAGTGTATCCATGACTCACACTACTCGCTGGAATTGAAGCCAGGACCTTCATTCTTGAGCGCGAACGTGCCACACAAGAAGAAATGGACATCCAGTGCTTTCACATCTCTAAAGATGGTCTAACAATGATCGATTCGCGATTTTAAAGTAGTTCAATAATCTTTACAACCCATAATATAATGAAAATTTCATATAATTTGAAAGAAATAGGTTTTGAAGACGTTTGTCCTTAAGAATCAATACCATTATTTGTAAAATCGTTAGAAATCTATTGTGAATTAGATGGTTCATTGATCCTAGTTTGAGACTCATCAGTAATGCCTAATGGAAACCAAGGTATCATAGACAGTATTATTTCATTGATCATGCTCGTCACCACTTCTACTGTTTCGAACAGTCCACATATATGTTGAGTAGTATTGTTGCATCTGTCAAAAAAAACAAATACTGGTCATGACAACATTTGTCTTGTCAATTTCTGTTAATTTAGGTTTGTTGTTTTTCTAAACTCATCAACTATAAGTTACATTTTTATCCATACCAGATAACCACTTTAATAATAATAGTAATTAATGACAAAAACTTTAAATGCTTACTGACTGTAATATGCAGATATTCTTCAAACAATCATCATAGTTTACGATGTACTTTGTCAATGGTGTGTATTCTTTCAGAATTTGAAAAGTTGCCTAACTTTCACAATGTTTTACTATAATTCATCAGTTCAAGATAACATACATTTACTGTGCCTTGATTCAACATTATGAATTATATATATATATATATATATATAAGTACGATCATGTTGAGTCAACACATTTATAAAACAGTTTATATGAGAAACAAATATATAAACTAATGTTAGTGCTACTCCATATACACTTAACCGAAATGGTTCTATCTAATTATGTAAGTTGTCAATATTTTGATCAAGTCAGATTTTCATGCAGTAGCGTATCTCTGTGTCCCATATCTTGACCAGTAGTGTATGGCTGTCAATGCCTCTCCCTTATAATTTACTCTACATGTGATTGATTAGCTCAGTGTATCAGATTATAAATCGAGAAGCAGTGAACAGCTTATTGTGACGTGTCATCGGATTCTCATTAGATCATTATAAGATTCTCTATTGAGCATAATAATAAATAACTCAATTGCTGGTTGACTTTTAATCATCGATGTAACATGAATATGTCAGTTGATTATATATTTTAAAAGATTTCAACAAAATATTTAATCATTGAGTAAGCACTAAACATTTCACTCCCAATACGCATTGTTCATGAAAAGATCTTAAAATGATCTTTAAAGTGGATAAGTTCAGTTATTACTAATTATAATTCTGCTTTAATAACCCTATATCATGAAGCTGTAGTTAAATTTTCAGAGTTTCCGCAAAGTTCAATTATGGTTAACAGTCGGACACAGTATAAGTTCCTCATGTTATTATATTCGTGATCAATGAGACATGTGCACGTGTATGTACCACAAGTCCCTATGTATGTTAATTTATTACCCGTGAACAAGTTAGTGATTATCTGTCCTCAATAACTCAACGGATAACGTGCAAACTTTGAAAGAAAAAGGTATGAGTTCTAAGTCTTGATGTCAATGTCAGAATGCAGATACATACGAAATTGCATGAAATGTGTGTCCTTAATTTGATTTCCTTAAATAAAATGTATTGACTACAGTCACTATCGAATCGATTCTGTTCAAGAGACAAGTATACCAAGATCGGCTGATGATATTCACTCCCCAATATCAACATTAGAAAATCTCATCATCAGTATAGAATAAGAGAAATAATATTTGCTTTGCTTACTTCAATATTTTTTTTACCCTATTTTTATGTACATTTTGTGAATTTTTAAAAAATCATTCATTATTTCATGTTTAACATTATTTCCCATGAAATCTAATTTATAGAAATGTCAGTAACAGTAATTTTTCAAACATTTATTCATGTTTAGCTTACAGATGATGATATACATAATTGGTCATTATCGTATTGATAGAAATACATATTCCTATTGATTTGGCATAGAGCCAAGAATTTAGATCAAAAGTGGAAATCCAATCAATTTGAACACATCTTCTACATATAAGTACAAAACAAATTCATCCCTAAACGTATTACAGTTGTTTGTTGACCTAATATGTATATGATTTAAAATTAAATATCGACTCATTAAGTCGAATAAAAGACACAGTGAATTATGATGTCTGAATGGGGATATGATTTAACTGATTTGTACTCGCTTGGTAGACATCGTTCATTAGATTATCCAGATAATAACACAAAAGGCAGTAGATGTGAGTAGATTTGAAATTTAAAATCAATCAAATCGATGTTGGAATGTACAATTTTTCAAATGAACCTAGTAGATTAGACTTAACATGAACTCTTTGTTGGAGAATTAATTCACTAATCACGACTATCATGAAATATAAGTTGTCCATGGTCAACAAACATTATTCACATGAGTTATGTTCAACATGTCAATGTATATATATCATTAGATAATTGGATAAACAAATTAATATCGTATGTGACTTGTTTGATAATCACTTCTTGATCTTTACCTATTAGAGAATACAGACATAGATTTATATTGAAATAATTTCAGAATTTCAATAATAAGATGTTAGTGAAGATTATCAAAATGATTGGTTCAAATAAATCATAGTAGGGATTGACTTACAGTGAAATATTTTAAAAAAAACAGTGTTATTTTTTCTGTTGACATTATTGAGAATTGAATCGAAATGAGTTATGCTGTACACATCATAAAAGTCGACTGGTATGAATAATTAGGTTGATTTATAGGTGTCATTTGTTTAAAGAGGTTAGATTTTGTTCACTAGTTAGTAAATGACTGCATTGAAACTGTTCGATTTCGTGGTAAATGAACATGAATTGATTTGATTTTGGAAAAATTCTACTCAACTGACGTGTACATAATTTATATCATGAAATAATATCAAGCATAACCAAAGTTAAAATATGTAGATAGAGAAATCGTAGACAGGAAATCATATAAATGTGGAAGATATTTTGGGGCACAGTTATGGAGGTTTGCGTTTTTACACATTTGAAATCATCGCCTCAATGGCCCGACGGTAAGGAGTTCGCCTACAATACCAAAGGTACCGGGTTCGATTCCTGCGAGGAGCAGGAGTCGTGAATGTGGACTGTTGATGAGTCCCATGCCAGGATAAAACGGCCGTCCAGTGCTTGCAGGTTCCTAATGGCGGTTTAACAATGAATGATTGATGATTTCGAACGTGTAAATTGAGAAAGAATTGAAACTGTGAAAAAAGCTTGTTCATTTATGAGATAAATATTTGATTGATTCGAAAAGGTGTATTTTCAAATTAGAAAAAATTGATCTTGTAATATAGACTAGTTGAGCAAAGCTTAGAAATAGGAATTAAAGAATTAGCCATAAGTTGAAGATTATGCAAATGGTCTTATGTAAAATAAACAGCTGAAGCGAATCATGAACTAGATGGAATTCATTATGAAATGTGTTTTCCGGTTTTCAAGCTGCTTACATCAATGATTCCACCCAGTAGTGACACAATCACAAAGTGAAATCAGTTTAAATTTTTGTAGTCTTAGTCGTAGTAGTAGTAGTAGTAGTAGTAGTAGTAGTAGTAGTAGTAGTAGTAGTAGTAGCGGTAGTAGTAGTAGTAGTAGTAGTAGTAGTAGTAGTAGTAGTAGTAGTGTAGTGAATGAGAACACAGGTGGGGGCAACCGAATTGTATTTAACGAAAATTACAGAGTTAGTCAGTAAAATCGGAAAACCATATCGTAAATCGTTCATTTGCAAAAGATCAGTTCATACTATGGAACTGGACTGTTCCTGTTGCCAAACATCAATCCATTGTCACTCTTCATGCGTTTCATACAAATTCCATTGTTTTCTGACTCTTCCTTTCTTGATCTTCCCCCCATATTATGCTACCAGACTTTACGTTGACACTCACGCTATATACTACTTATAAGTAATTCGCAACACAGCACCACACTCGTCCCCCCTTTTAATAAGCTGTCGTCGTGGTCCTTCAAAACAGAGCTCCTGGTCAGTTAATATCACCTTCCGTATTCCGTGACACGCTACACTATGCCGGATTACCACTTCGGTCATCGTTCTTGATCACTGGTCTGGAATGGATACCGGCATCTATCCAACGTGTAGCGTCCACAAGTTCCCGATGCTGGAACACGGCGGCAGGCACACACTCGATAAATTGCGACGCCAAAGACTGTGCCCCGTCCACTCCTCACGGCGCAATCCGGTGAGCTCCACAGCAAGCACCAACAGGTCACCATCGGCCGACAGCCTCGCCAACGGAACCTCTGCGGCGCCTCCTCCCTGTCCGCTGGGCTGTCGAACTCCATTATCAGCCGCCCGGTGACCGTCTCCCCACGCCGTCTCTTTGGTGGCACCGTCCAGGCTGTCGTGCACCGCCTTCGCCTCACCTCCCCACAGCGTCCCCAGCACCGTCAAATCCGCCCCAAGCCCCCACCAGCTCCACCGCGGCCCCAGACTCCTCCAGGAAGCTCCGCCAATCTCCGCCCTGCAACTCCTTCGGCCACGGGAGCCCCTTCCTTCGA